GATTTATTAATAATAATTTTAATTGTGTTTTTAAGGATATAAAAATGCATTACGTGTCTAAAGGCAATGAAAACAATCAGACAATGCTTTTCATACACGGATTCCCGGAGTTCTGGTACTCGTGGAGGCATCAGATGAACGAGTTTGAAAAGGACTATCACGTGATAGCGGTGGACAATCGGGGTTACGGCGATACAGACAAACCCCGGGGTATTCGCAACTATACGGTCGATAAAATAGTGGACGACTCGAAGCACCTGTTGGAAGCGTTGGGCAAACGGGACATAGTTTTGGTGGCCCACGACTGGGGCGGTGCCATTGCCTGGCGTTTCGCAGCCAAATACCCGTCACTGTTGGACAAATTGATCATCATTAACAGTCCGCACCCCCTAATGACGCGCATAGCGTTGCGTGGATGGGCCCAATTTATAGCATCGTGGTATATGCACTTTTATAGCCTCCCATGGCTTCCGGAGTTCGCCCTTCGGGCCAATGATTATTATATATTCGACTACGCGATGCAGACCTGGGATAATAAGCCACTCTTACCATCGGATCAGTTGGAGGCCTATAAGTATCAGTTCCAGAAGAATGGTTTTACGGCACCGCTCAACTGGTATAGGGCTGTCATCCGTCGATATCCTATTAACAATCCAAAAAGTTTTCAAATTACAAGACCCTGTCTTACGATATGGGGTATAGTTTTTGCAGATTTTTTATCAATTTTTATATAATTTTCATTTCAATGTTTTGTATTTTAGGTACAAATGATAAATATCTGACCACACCTTTAGCGGCGGCGCACAACTATGTCAACGATTTGACCGTTAAATACATTGACAACTGTTCCCATTGGACGCAAATGGAGCACCCGATCTTGGTCAATCAGTATATGCGAGAATACTTAGATGCTAGAAAATAACCATCATAATTTATTTTAAATTGACAAACATTTTTTTTATTCTCTTGTACAGAATAGAAAATTTATATCAATTAAAATATTTTTTCCAATCAATAAATACTAATTTATTTGAGGTTAATTTTGTTTGTGATTATAATAATACTTTTTAATAAATAATGGGTACATTTTATAATTTAGAAAATTTTCATTAAATAAAAGTCTTAATTTATTAACTATTTAAAAGTTTATTAATTATAAAGTTTCGCGCGCGCATAGCATCACAATATGAACTACGAGTGCGATTACAACTGTGCCCACACATGAGCACTGGGATCAGTCTTGGAAGCTGTGAATCATTGTTTTGGGGAATATTTTATACAAACAGCAAAGTTTTAATTAAAATATTGTGTTTCTTATATCAACTGATTATATCTGAGGTAACCAAGCATGTTTGTATTGTTTGATTGCAAATTTACATATATTAATTACTTGTATAACAATATCAACAATTGGTTGCTGTAAAAATGATGATGCTATTCATGGCAAATACATGTGCATATGGCTAATATTATGTGCTATATTTTCCATATTAATTAATTGTGGTTAATATTCAACAGTTTTGAAGTTGAATCCAAACAAAATATTAAAAACAGTGTAAATTCCCGATAATTTAAATGCATATATAAATGCTAATTTATAATTATATCAATAATTGCATCTTTATTAATATGCTTTTACGATATACTGATTGTGAAATTTATACCTTTATAATAGCTATTCATTCAATACTTATTATTATTGACTCCAATTATGATACTCTTTCAATTGATTAAAGAAAGTATTAAACAAAAAGCTAAATATTGTATAAAATATTATGTTTTCCAGAATTCAAGGCTATAATTAAGTTATGAAAATGTGTGTAAAACACATAAATGCTTAAACAATTAAATAAATAGTGGCATTAGACTTGCGAATCGATGAATCGGGACTGTATTAGTCATGAAGTTATACACATAAAAAGTTTATATAATATTTCTTATGTTGTTTCAATGTATAGCTTGTTGTTAGCCGTCTGGCAAAAGGCGAGAAAAACAGCCTTGAAATTAAATGGTAATCAACATGATAAATAGCAATACATATGCAGTATATTTATTTATCAACATAAATTATCATCAAATCAGTTACACAATGTACTTATAGTCACCAAATTGTCTTTGTTCTAGCTCATATAATTTATTAAGTTTCTTAAAATTTATCACTTTATTTTGCTAAAATATTTATAACTTTTATACAACACACTGTGTTATCGGTTAAAAATGCATGAATATTAATGGAAATTACTTACAAAATACAAGTATCTACTAAATTAGAAATATCATGTTAAAATTTGATCTAAAAATTATATTTATTGACATTTAGCTCATCTTAAAATATAGTATAACATTAAATGCATATACAGTACAGAATATTTTGACCATATAACAATTGCTGTCCAAAATTTTTTGAGTATTGAATTGTTATCATCATGGTTACACCACATTGACAGCAATGTAAATAAATCACATATTCCTTTACAGTTAATGACAGGAATTTTAATGAACATGTTCATTATTTTGCACACATATAATAATATCTCACATGTATATTAAATTACAATACGATTGTGTGAAACCCTCCCATCCTTGAGATTTTTCAACCAAGAGTTGTTTTATACCAGATTAGGTACTGGAGATTCGCTGATAAGTAAAACCAAAATTACATTAACGGTATATATAAGGCATAGAATGAGAAGGAATTATAAATAGTTTGAAATATTTCTCTCATAGTTTCAAAAGTCATCACAACTTCACGTAAAAATTTAATTATACTTTTAAATCATTGCTTTTTTCATTAAAGTTTTGCTTAACATTGAGAAAACTAACACCATTTTTGTTCAATTAAACATCACGTTTGTTTTCTAAATCATATTTTAAACTAATTATTGTTTTTAATACAGAAATATAAACTTCAACAATGAGTCCAACCATCAAATATACTCAGGTATTAAAAGTATTTGCAAAATAGTTGTCGTCAACTAATTGTCAACTAAATTATAAAATAAAGTTTTGTTTTTAACTGTATTTCTAATTCACAATTAATTAATAAAATAATAAAACAGATATTTATAAACAACGAGTGGCACAATTCGGTCAGCGGTAAGACATTTCCGACCATAAATCCGGCCAACAATGAAAAGTTGGCAGATATTCAAGAGGCAGATGAGGTATGTGTGTTGTCCACCGAGTTATCCATTAAATCACTAATCATTGATGACTACCCGAAGGCCGATGTAGACAAAGCGGTGAAAGCGGCCCAAAAGGCCTTTGAATTGGGCTCTGAGTGGCGGACAATGGATGCCTCGCAGAGGGGGCGCCTCATCAACAAACTCGCGGATCTCATTGAACGCGACCGACAGATAATTCTGGACCTCGAGGTAGCAGATGTGGGCAAACCTGTGGGTGAGGCACAGTTCGACATCGACGGTGTCATTGGGACACTTCGGTACTACGCCGGGTGGGCCGACAAAGTGCACGGCAATACCATACCGGCCGGTAATATATATACCTTTGCATTCATTATTTAAACGCATGAGTATTGTAATCAATCTGTGTAATTGCCGGACAGACGGCCCGCAGTTTGCATTCACCCGATTGGAGCCAATCGGCGTTTGCGGCCAAATAATACCCTGGAATTACCCGATGGTAATGCTGTCGTGGAAGTTCGGTCCGGCGTTGGCCACCGGCAACACCATTGTCTTGAAACCGGCGGAACAGACACCGCTGTCAGCTCTGCACACCGCGGCTCTGGTGAAAGAGGCCGGCTTTCCGCCCGGCGTTGTAAACGTAGTGCCCGGTTATGGACACACAGCCGGTGCCGCTCTGGCCAAACACCCGCACGTCGATAAGATAGCCTTCACGGGCAGCACAGAAGTGGGCAAATTGATAGTACAGGCGTCCACTGTCAACATGAAACGTGTGACCCTCGAGATGGGCGGCAAATCACCGGTAGTGGTCACCGAAGACTACGATCTGGATGAGGCCGTGCAAATCGCTCACGACGCTTGTTTCGCCAACGCCGGTATGTCTGCCATTTATTATCTCACCTAATCACTCTGATTTCATGTTATTTTTTACCATAATCATATAGGCCAGTGCTGTTGTGCGGGCACCCGTACGTACGTCCACGAGTCCATCTATGACCAGTTCGTGAAGAAGTCCGCAGAGTTGGCCAAAAAGCGATTGGTTGGCGACCCGACCAAAGAGGACACAATTCAGGGGCCGCTCATCGACGACACGCAGACCAAGAAAGTGCTGGAACTGATCGAAGGCGGCAAAAAGGAGGGCGCGGTTCTGGTCACTGGTGGCACACGACTGGCCGGCAAAGGGTTCTTCGTGGCCCCCACTGTGTTCGCCAACGTTACCGATAATATGAAGATCGCTCGGTATGCCATCACCACGTTATAAGTGGTTCATAATTACATTTATGTTTTTTCCATATCATTTAGCGAAGAGATCTTCGGACCCGTACAGCAGCTGCTGAAGTACAGCACAATGGATGAAGTGATCCGCCGGTGCAACGACTCCCGTTACGGTCTCGGCTCCGGTATACTGACCAACGACCTGAACAAAGCCTTGCAGTTCGCGCAGGGAGTGAAGGCCGGATCAGTTTGGGTCAACTGTTACGACACGGCCAGCGTTCAGACACCGTTCGGCGGCTATAAGATGTCCGGACACGGGAGGGAATTGGGCGAAGACGGCATCAAAGAGTACACTGAGGTCAAGGCTGTGACCATTAAGATAGCGGTCAAGAATTCATAAACACATCCCTTTAATTATATCACACTTTAAAAAAGTGTTCAAAAATCTCAACAAAAATAAGATAAAGTTTTTTATGAATTGATTTAAAGCTAAATAAAAACGCTTTTCAAAAAACAAAATAAAACTAATCATTAAATTAATTGCAATTAAAAACATAATTAAAAATATAAATTCATAATCTATTAGTAACGGCTGATCCGTGTCTTAACTATCACAACCGGAGCTAAGAGTCCAGCGATTGTCTTAATT